AGAACCAATGTCCCCCATCAACTTTACAGCTCTCTCGGCTACTATGTTGGTTCGAGGCACATCAAGCAATGATGGTTCCTTCTTCCAGTGGATAGAGAAGCATTTCACAGCTTTGGAACACTTAAGTTGGGATATTGCTGACAGCAGGTCTTCATAAGCCGCCTCTGCAAAGTGCTGGTTTGAAAACCAGGCCCGCGTCTATGTAGTTGCAACGAAATCGCAAGTTATCGTCAACTGTTCTCGCCAGTTTGGAAGAATGAAAAATGCAATAAGCGCAAAAATGCCTCTTGAGTTCCACCTGGCACTGTGCAGTATTGGCAGCTTGTGCCATTTGATACAAGGCCATTTTTCCTCATTTTTGAATCATTTTTGTATGCTACACAAAGCTGAAAAAGAAATTTAAAGTCATCTCTCCAGCCAAGGTTCTCATACTCTGCTACCACTGCTGTGCCCTTGTAGGCATTTTTTAAATCATCGTAATGCTCCATAATCTCATCAATAAATTTGTAGTTAATGTTAGGCGACTGTGACTGTATAGGAAAAAAGAAATCCAACACATGTCGTAGAACAAGATCAAGAATGTGGTGTTGGCAGCCGATGTATTGAGGTTCATTGAATCCCTTGTCTCAAAATGTTTTCTGAAGCTTGGCTACAACTCCATTCTTGCGACCAGTATTTACAGCTGTTGTGTCAGAGATGATCATCTGAATACTGTTCCATGCATTGTAATTATCTAGTAGGTCCTGTAGTGGTTTATATATGCTTGCAGATGATCCACTGTCACAAACCAAAATGCCAAGTTGTAATGTTCTTTTGTCATTTTTCAAGCACACAACTTGGTACTCAGTCTTGTCAATTTTCTTACCATCAAAATGCAAAGAAAATTTCTCTTCAGAGATCAGTTCCATGAGGCGGTTCTTAACTTGTTCTGCATCTCTGATTGTTCGACGCCAGACTCCAGATTGTGATGGTGTTGGGACACAAACTCCATCCTCAGCCAGACTTTGAAGTACCCGTGACGTTTTTTTGGTTGACAAAGAGTGACTAGACACTAGTTTGGCAGCAGACTTAGTTGACTGGCGTGTTGCATGCTTTCTGCAAAATTCTCCTGGAACTGCCTCCAAGTCACCACTGCTGCTTCCTTCCTCAGAATCCTCACTATCGTAGGAAAGTGGTACGGAGATAACCGCTTGGTTTGTCGAGGGTTCTGATGTGCTTTTGGCCCTTTTTGATGGATGGATTGTTGACATAGGAGCCACTTTTATAGTTGTATATCCCACCCTGCCATCTGATTCAATTTGTACTTTGTACAGTTGTTTGTCCTCACTAAAAAGCCAATTTCCATCTTGTTTTGTTATATCGAACAGATGAGCAAGATTTTCTTCAAATACTGCATTTGATCGCTTTCTGTGTTTTTTAAATGATGTGATAAGTTTGTAAACATTAGCACACACTTGTTGTTTGGAAAGAACAGGAAAATTAAACTTCTGCCAAAGATTCATCAATTCCTCTGATATTTTTGTTAGTCGATCATGTTGTCCTTTCAATTCATTAAAGAGTCCCAAGAATCTCCCGACAATATCTCTGTTGGAAGGCATTTTACACAATTTGTCGCTCATATCCTGTTTTACCTGTGGTATATTAGGATGGCGCTTCGTGCTTGATTTCAAATTTTGTGTCCATATTTCACCAGCTGCTTCCACTGCTGATTTTGACTTTTTACTTTTAAAGGACATATTTTCAAAAAGAAGCACTAAACAGCAGATCTTGCAAATTAATACTGCAAATAATGAAAAAACTTTTTAAATACTTCTACTCAATATTTTAATCGCGTGAACATTAAAAAGTACTCAACAACAAACAACAACAAACGCTCATTAATTTGAAAAATAGTCGTTAAAATTTGTTATTCAAAATTGAATTACATAACATAAAAACAATTTAAAACTATCGAACTTTTTTATTTTTTTTTTAATTTTTTTTATGTTGATTTTAGGTGCCCCAAGAAGTCCTTACGGTCTTATCACAGAGCACCGCGGAAAAGCATTTAATGGGAAATTCACGCCTCCTTCCCAACCGATGTCGCAAAATTTGCCCAGAGGTGGGGTTTGAACCACGGGTCTTACGTTTCTGAGGCAAGTGTGCTACCACTGCGCCACGGCTGCTTAAATATTCTATGTTAATTAACTTTTTAAAGTGTTTGACGCTCTCCAACTTGTAGTTATATTCAAGCATAGTCAAGCATATGGAAGTAAGAAGTGGGAACAAAATCAAGTGAAAAATCGAAAAAGTTAAAAGTGGTGAGGTGCTAGGTGCGGGAGGTTTTTTTGTGATCCAATAAAATAAACCTCAAAACAGTGATCTATTGGTAAAAGTTCATCAAATGCAACATCAGGAAAATTAAAATTTTGAAAAAAGTTTTTTTGTCATATACCTAATATACAACTTTTAAGGCCAATTTATTGCAATTTATTCTTGTGTTTCAAATTTTGAGTAAGTCAATCTTAATAAGACAATAGTTTCTTTGATTTAAAAAGATACTCTTTGTAAAAAGTATTGAAATTTAAAAAGTTTGAATTTGGACATCCAAAATACTAATAGTCTAAAATTAATATAATTTTTGCAGAATTAGATATATCATCTGAAACACTGCATAACAAAGTCAAATATATTTAAGTAATTTTAATTGTTGCCTAATATTAGATGTTATATGTGTATATACATACCTATTACTTGATTATCTTATCTTAAGGTACCTTTATTACTTAATTACTTTATTTTACTTGATTACCCATACTAATATTATTACTAATGCTAACATATTACCCATACCTCCATTACTTGATTACCTTAAGGTTCATCTATTACTTGACTACCTTAAAGTACCTCTTATACCCCATAACCCTATCTACTAATATATCTATTAAATAAAACCATTTGGAGTTTTTTATTTGCAATAATTTTTTTGACTTTGTTCAAAGAAGTAACTAAAAAATGACTCATAAGTTTTAATTTTATTTAGAAGGAGATCATGGCTTATAGTATTGAAAGACTTTGTTAAATTGATAAGTGCACTGCCTAGAAGTTCTCGTTCATTGTTACTCTTTCTTATTTTATCTGCATTGTGGTTGTGTTGATTGTCTTTTTTTTGGTATCCTAACTGAGAATATGTCGACATAAAGTTGCTTTCAAGGTATTTTTATAGCTAACAGTAAACAGCTTTTATTTATAATTTTATATGAGGTTGGTAAAAGGGAGATATTATGCTTCATCATATGGATCTGATTTGTGTAAAAGTATTATTTTTGTATTTCCATTAAGCTTATTATATTTGCAGTTGAAAGGGAAAGATTGAATATGTAGGTTGAACTTACTTGGAGATTTCTGTTGCTGAATTTTTAATTAAACATTTATAGATAATGAATTGCTATTTTTGTGTAATTTTAACTGCATTATACAAATATGCATTAAACATATGAGAAACAAAGAGTCTTGTTTTAATTGGTAGATCTTGTGGAGTTTTCCAGTTTAAGTTATAAATTTCTTTTAATAAGGCTTTTTTTTAAAAGTATGTGCATAATTGAAGACAAATAAGATATTGCTAGGCAGATTTTTCACAGTTTCCTGGTTTAAAACAATTTTACTATGAGAACAAAAATAAACATGTTGATGAGCAATTTGAATATATTCAACGGGAAAAATTTGCATCAAAGTTTCTTCTGTGGCAAGCAATTTGTAGCTGTGGTATGCAGTCCTCTTGTTTTGTGACTATGACAAAATAAGAGGACTGCATACATATACATATATATATATATATATATATATATATATATATATATATATATATATATATATATATATATATATATATATATATATATATATATATGTATGTATATGTATGCAGTCCTCTTATTTTGTCATAGTCAATTTTCACATCATCATCTTCACACCACTGCAGAATCTCAGTATTTGTGTTTTTTTTCTAAATGGCAAAAGCCTTTTAAAAAGGCATTCTTTGATGTAAAGATCGGCAGTCAAGGCAGTCCTTATATATATATATATATATATATATATATATATATATATATATATATATATATATATATATATATATATATATATATATATATATATATATATATATATATATATATATATATATATATATATATATATATATATATATATATATATATAAGGACTGCCTTGACTGCCGATCTTTACATCAAAGAATGCCTTTTTAAAAGGCTTTTGCCATTTAGAAAAAAAACACAAATACTGAGGTTCTGCAGTGGTGTGAAGATGATGATGTGAAAATTGTTCCTAATGATGCTGATGCTCTGAATCTTCCTCAAGAGCGCAAGATTTTGGCAATAGTTAAAGGAGTTATTCTTAATATAAGTGGAATGACTAAAAAAAACAAAAATAAGACTTCTAAAAAAGTGGGTTAATGCCACCAATAGGGTGAAAAAAGATAAAATCTGCAAAATGATGGCATCAAACCGCTCTAAAATTCTATATTTTGCCAAACTGCCCATCAAGCCCCTTAAAATTAAGTTGAAACCCTGATGTAATCATCTAATATAAAAAAATTGAAATAAAAGCATTTAAAGTTTTAGAGAAATCTCAATTTAAAGTTGACTGGATTTTTCTGTGACACCTGATATTAAAAAACCAAAACTCAAAAATCACCCTTTAATAATTAATAGTTAAAATATTCAATGAAACTATTCACTATGGGATTGTCCATAAATTATGCAATGCTAACTTTAACTAATAAACAAAACAAAAGAGTTCAACAGTTTACCCTTGCAGAGCCTTAAGTTAAATAAAAAATCAAAGTGTCACATTAAGTTTAATGAAAATCGCTGCATATAAGAGCTTAAGATCTCCTACTTCTGTTTTTTGAATAAATTCAGCGCTGCGTTATTTATGGATGATCCCTATGCAGTAAGTGTATAATAAAGTAAAAAAAAAACATTTAAATTTTTTTTTAGAATAACAAAGTGTTTGTTTGTAATGGACCATATGCATCTTTGCGCAAAGCTTTACGTAGAAGAGGATGGGTTGAGCAACGGTTTAAAGCAATCAATGCATTAACTCAAGAATGTCCAGATTCAGAGTTAAATGAAGATACATTTGGCGAAAATCTAAATGAGCAATATTTTGAAATTATGTCACGGTTGGTTAGAAATGCTGTTCCTTCATTTATATGGACTCTTAAGCGCGATGACATTGGCTTTCGTTCTTTGCATAAGGATCAAATTATAAATCATTACACTTGTGCTTGGGCATTTACTACAAAATCAGGCTTATGCTCACATCTCAGAAATCTCCATCACTTTGATGATCTTAATGCCAACAGTTTTTTTCCTAGATGTTATAGACTTTGTTGTCAGCACGAAAGAGATGAATTTATTGATGATTTTAGAATAACAGCAGCTCAAGGACTGTTAAAAATTGTTGTCGGAGAAAGTGAGAAGTGGGCATTAATTAAAAATTCTGAAAATGTTAGTATGGAAAATAGTGAGTTTTTTCATTCAAAATTTCTATGTGTATTATATAAATTTGATTTAACAGTCATAACAAATTAGTATGCTTTGCTCTTTTGTTTTTATATTATATATTTATATTTTTTTATTTAATAACTTTCAGTTTTGTTTTTAAAGTGTCTAAATGTATCAAACAAAGTTTGTCGCCAATGCTCCTTGAAATAGCCATAAAAGCTTGTCATTTGTATCTTGAAAGCAAAGCACATCTGGATATTGAAGAAGACTATAACGAGCATATAACTGATGATTTATGGAATTCACTTTTAGAATATTATTACAAAGTAGCAAGGTAAATAGTTTATGTTGTGAGTGGTTACCATTGTTGAGAGTGGTGTGGTGAAATTTCTTTTTAATTGAAATCATTTTCATTATAAATGTTTGTGCAGTTGAACATATGTGACTGTGGATCAAAGATTTTTATGTTTTGGTCTTCAAACTTTTTTTTTTTAAAGAGCATAACCTAATTTTTCATAGAAAAATGCATCATTTGGTATCAAAGTGCATTTTTAGCATGTATTTTATTGTATTAATGATTTTTTGATTTAAGCGTTTTAATGTGCAATTTTATTTCATCTACAAGCAATATCAAATCTAAAGAAATCTCTTTGTTTTTTTTAAAGCAATCGAATGCAATAAATTTAAGTTTTATAGAAATTCCACATTCTGTTATGTATAGCAGAATGTCCATACAAAAAATGCAGTACATCCTCTACTTTTTAACATTTATTAAAAGGTCTTATGATTTTTTGCTTTTATGTGTCTACATAAAGGTTGTGAATAAATTTATCAAAATAAAAACAAAATTTTTAAAAAATGTAACTTCATTTTTTAAATATTACATTGATAAAGAGGAAAAATTAAAATGTGTAATAAAAACCCATTTAAAAAAGACATTTAGACATTTAGACATTTAAAAAAGGATGTTAGTGATTGGATGCCAATATGGAACTTAGAATACTTTTTTATTTCTCGTTAACTCTTATGTGGTGAATGAGACTCATACTTATATGATTAAAACACCGCTAAATCATAGCTTTTTTTTTCTGCTATGTTTAACAGTAGTTAACTGGTATTGGGATATTTGTTCCAGGTTTCAAAAATGCTTTTTTACAACATGATTTATAGCATTTATAAAGTGGTTATAAAATTTATCTTAAAATAAAGCTAAAAATTAAATTTATTTTCCTCATAACTGTTCTCCCTAAATTAGTCAATGAAGCAGCACTCTTTCACTTTTATCCCTAAATCAGTCTGTATTTTGATTGAAAACTTAAAACCTCATTTTGAGTCATAGTATCTTTTGCTTATTGCAAAGCTTTTTGCTTAATAAATTCATTATGTCCAAAAACAAAAAGACTTTTTCAGAAGATGCAGTTATATAGACAAATTACTTATTTTAAAAAACTGTTTCACAGCATTTAAGATTTTTTTATAAATTTTTATCTATTAACAATAAAAGCTAGACTTTTTATTTTCTGATTTTAAATTTTACTTCCAAAATTATATTAACAGCTAATTCTCTTTCAGTCTCATTTTGGTTTCAATTCAATGTACATAGTAAGATTCCAAGGCAAGAATTCCATGCTGAAGATCTCATATATTTTTCCCTATTTTTTTGTGCTTTTCCATCTGATAATGTTTCAAGTTACATTATTCAGACAAGTTTTGTGTTTGAAAATGGGATAGAATTCTAAAGCGCTGACGTTGAAGAAAAAAAAGGATGAATAAAACTTTTTGGAGCACGAAGAAACAGTTACAGTAAAAAGATGTGAGCTTATTTCCCTCTAATTTTAAAGTAAGGTAGAGCTTGTATTTAGGCAACTTAAATAGTCTGGTTTTTTGTTTGCTAAACTTTCAGTCTTGAGTTCCTGAAATTACCCTTTAACATTTTTTTGATCTGAAGATCAGCTTAATTAAAACTTCATAAAGTTCTAATTAAAGTCTAATTAAACAGTATCTTATATAAATTGAAGGTGAAGCACCAAACATAAATTAAGCTAAAAAGAAGCACTTCACATTAAGTGGGAAAATCTCTCACTTAATAAGCTAACTTGCAATTACGTTATTTACTTATCTAATTAATTTAACTGCCAGTTTATTTTAATTATATCGATTGGATAAATTTAAGTTTTATAGAAATTCCACATTCATAAAACTTTTTTAAATAAGTTTTATTATACGATAATGGAACTATTTTTCATCATATTTTATTATATAATGATTTTATTATTTCAAATTAGAATGGGGTTTTGCCCCATTGTAATTTGCAAATTTCTATCACCTAAAATTTGCCCCTGTTATATATATAATGTACTAAAAATTTTTAAAAGATAAAAATATATACATGGAGATAACTTTTATATTTTAAGTTATTTATATTACATATATGAATAAAGTATTCCTTTAAAATTGTAATTTCATTTATGAAAAGTAAAATATATTTTTAAAAACATATTCTTTTTTGAGCATATTCTTTTTTTTATATTCAATTGTTTTTTATGAAAAGTTTTTAACGAACTTGTTTTAAAGAAACGATTTCTATATTGAAAATGGATGGCAGTATCAAAATGAATGCAAAACTGTTTTAAACAAACTAAGCAGCTACTTTCCTCAGATGAAAATTGATGGTTGTCAAAACCTATGGATTTTGAAGCCTGGTGCAAAATCGCGAGGTAGAGGTATTGAAATTATGTATTGTTTGGATACCATCCTCAAACTTTCAAGTGACAATGTTTCCAAAAAAGAAGATCGGTTGGTTATACAAAAGTACATTGGTAAACTTAATTATTTTTAACAGTTTCATCAATAAAGACTCATCAGAAATCCTTTCTGATGTATAAGCGCGAAGCGTTGCAAAAACTGGCATATGTGCGAATTGGCATAAAAGAAGTTTATGTTTTTTTAGTGCACTAAAAGAATTTGGAAACATTTGTATAAGTGAAAACTGGCATAAGTGCATAGCAATTGCAAAAACTGGAATAAGTCCATTTCTCCATAAGTGTGAACTGGCATAAGTGTGCCAAATAAATTTGCAAACATTGGTATAAGTGCGAGTTGGCATTTCGTACTTATGCCAGTTTGCACTTGTTAAGGTTTTTGCAACTAATTTGCACTTATACCAATTCGCACTTATGCGAATGTTTGCAAATTCCTTTGGTACACTTATGCCAGTTTGCACTTGTGCCAGTTTTTGTTACTGATTCACACTTATGACAGTTCGCACTTATGCCAATGTTTGCAAAAGATTGGCTTAAGTGGCACACATACAAGTTCGCGCTTACGCCAGTTCACACTTACACCATTCACACTTATGCCAGTTTGCACTTATGAAATTCGCACTTATTTAGTAGTTCCTTTTAATAATGCATTAAAATTAAATAATATTGAGACTATTATCTTTACAATTGCTTTTATATTAGCAAAACGCTTTTAAATAAAGTAATAAATTACTGATAATTATTTCTGTTTCAAGTACCAGTAATATTTGTAAATAGTTTTTTTAATTATAATATAAATTATATAAGTATGCCTTTTTTTATAATAAACAATTTTTTTTGAAGTACAAATTTATTTTTATTTTATAAACGACGACTTTTTTAGACAATGGTAGTCTTTTTAATGAACTTTATATAAAAAATCATTAGAGTTAATACACTTTAAAAGTAAAAAATTTAATATGTATTTGTATGGAAACTTACTATTTTTAAATAAGTAAAAAGACATCTGTAATTTAAATTAAATGTTCATATTTTTTAAACAATCATTCAAACAGCCAAAATTATTACTTTATTTATAAGGGTTTCCCATAATATAAAAACGTTTGCAAATATTCGTTGTTTTTTTTATTCTAAACATAACTAAGAATATTATTTACATAATGTGAGTGTTTTCGTTTTTTAGGTTTGATTTTTGTTGTTTATATGTTTATTTTTTGTGTATTGGTTCTAGTAAATTTCTTTTTTATTTTATTTTACTTTCAGTCTAGATAATTTGTTCAGTGCATTTTTTAAATATTCAAATTTTTAAAACATGTTAACAGCCGTGTTCAAATCGTCAAAACAAACAATTATTTTCGTAATTTTTTTAAATTGATAGGCTGCCCGCTCAAACCAAACCCTCAGTCAATATAGCAACATGCGAGGAGCATGTGCTATCTATTTTCCAGTTGATGTAGCAACACTCCTTGCATCTTCCACCTTTTTTTCAGTCGATGTAGGAGCACTTCTCTCATATTTTACTTGTTTGTCAATTTTTACTGTCGATGTAGCAGCACTCATCGCATTAAAAAATAAAAATAAATACATAGAATTTTTTAATTAAAAAAAAAACATTATTTGCGCTTTAAAAAAATTCTAGTCTAATAATATTGCGCACTTTGTTTTTTGGGCATTAATAAGGAGTAATAAGTTTTTTAGGTATTAATAAAGAATAATTATATTTATATTGAAATATTTATTAAAAACAATAGGATTAAAATTGTTCAAGGTTTTAATAATCTTTAAATAATTTTAAATAATCTTTGAAGAAGATTTTAACAATCATTATTTGAGAAAATAAAGTCTAATATTAATACGCGGACATCATTGTCTTTTTCCTTGGAAACTATTCAGTGAAGTAAATACTATATTTAACTGTATCCTTTTCTTAAAAAGAAAACAATTTGGGGTTATAAAGTTCATTAGATTTTTGCATTTCTAAAAAATGATTAGGCCCTACTGCACTGCTAGCTTCTTGTTCCCACTTTATGGGAGTAATAACATTATTATTTTTTAATAGAGATGAGAGTAATAACATTATTTTTTAATAAAGACCTTGATACAAAAATTTTAATTATTGAGAGATAAAAGAATCGTTGTAAATTTCCAATCAGAAGTAAAAAAATAATAAAGATAAACCATTTTATATGCAAACAGTATTAAAAATAAATTTTTAATCAATTTTTGAAATTTCTGATTTTGAATCTTATGTTCCTGCGAGATGTAATCAAATTTAAAAAAAAAAAAAAAAAAAACTGATTACATGTTATGGAAGCAAAGAAGGGTCTATATTTTGAATGACAAGTATTCTGGTCAAGTTTTTATTGGACATGTGTCAAAACTTAGTAGTTTCAAGTAGTTTGAAAATTTACAATGAAAAAGTACACAACATTAAAAGGTGAACGTTTTTTTTTTACCAATCTTTATAAAATCTATAACTATCAAAGGATTCTTATTTCTTTTTGTGTTGACTTTATAAGTGTCATTGATGTTACTTTTATCTAACACGCTAAGTTCTAATAAATAGGGTTAATTTAAAAGAGATACAATTGGACTACAAACAAGCAATATGTTAAACTAGTTTTCATCCAATGGCAGTCCAAATGAGAATTTATTTTATTAAAAAATTTTGTTTCTTTTTGTGCTAACCTTATGAGTGTTATTGATATGATTGTATGTACTAAAGCGTTTCATAAAAAATATAATTTAAGTACACATTTTTTAGAAAGACCATTCTTGGTTCACAAAACAAAATTTGATATTCGCCAATGGTTTTTGGTAACTGACTGGAATCCATTGGTATTATGGATTTATAAAGATTCGTATATTAGGTGTTTAGCAAGATATTTTTTTTATTATTTTATAAGTTGTTATTTAATTTGCCTGTTTGAATCATATTTTGTTTGATTTAACCGTAGATATTGTGGCCAAGAGTTTTGCTTGGACAAATTTGATCCTCAAGTTCACCTTTCTAATAATTCCATACAAAAGCATTTTAAAAATGGAAAACGTTCGAGGCATTTGCCTGAATTTAATATGTGGTTTAGTGATGAGTTCAAGGCGCACATTATTAAAAGAGGTATGCGCATAAATTATAAAAAATAAATTTATGTTAAAAAAAAGCGCAGTTAAAGTTTATTCTTTTCAACTATGTTGAAGTATTTTTTTATATTCAGGGTTTAAATGTTTTTACTTTACAGGATTTAAAACAACTTGGGATGACGTCATATACCCGGGTATGAAAGCAGCTATTATTGCGACTTTGCAAAGTTGTCAAAATTCTTTAGAATATCGAAAAAACTCGTTTGAGTTATACGGTGCTGATTTTATGCTAGATGAAAATCTAAATCCTTGGCTAATTGAAATAAACTCAAGTCCAGCCTTAAGCCCCAGTACTCCTGTTACCGAGAAGCTATGTAATAATGTTTTAGAAGATACTATGAAAGTTATACTTGATCGTCGTGAAAATAAAAATTGTGATGTTGGTCGGTTCGACTTAGCATATAAACAACAATATATAAATGTTCCATCTTATATGGGTTGCCCTCTATCTATTGAAGGTATTTCGTTATCAAAAAAAAAAACGCTTGACGTTGAAAAAGTCAAATCACAAAGCGATAAAAGTATTAGTTTTACCTATAGTTCTTCTTCGGCAGATAGCTCAATTATTTCTATATCGAAAGATACTTCATACGTTACTGAATCATGCCAAGATTCTATAGAAAAAAGGTTTACCGAACAAATTAATCTAAGAAATTCTTCAAAAAAAAAATTTCAAACCAAAAAGGGAAGTTTTACAATCAAAAACCTGAAGCGAGAAAGTAAAAAAAAGCTACGGGAAACTTTGTTCCCAGCTTCCTGTAATAATTAATTTAAACCTTTAACTAATGTTTCTTTAAAACCATCCGTACCTGTTAATAATCAACTGTTAAATATTTATTTACTTTAAATACCTTTTTATATTACTTAGCCGGAACTTCAAATTCTAAAGCTTTTTTATATGTATATTGTTAAAAATGATATTTATATTTTTAGTGTAATTTTTTTTTCTTCAATGTGGGACCGGAGTTTAATATATTTGGTTATTTAAAAAAAAACAAAAAAACACCGCTAGTCAATCTAATTTATGGAACTACAAATACGTTTTTATCGAATACAAATACAAACATTAAAAATTTTTATAATTGAATACAATAAAAATGCGAATACGGCATTAGAGTCTATTATTACCAAATACAAATGTAAATACGTATTTGACCCTACATTTTAAAATATAAAATAAGTCTTCAAGTTTCGGTATTTATTTGTGTGTGGGTGGGTGTGGATATGCAGTGTCAAAACTTTTGCAGCATTTATGCATTCAAACTGTTTTTTATATTTTTTGTATAACTTTAAACTTTTTTTTTCATACGTAAATTTGAATCAATTACCGATCATTTCTTTTAATACATAAAACAGCGGGTAGAGCGAGGTTAATCGAGCATAGGGAGAAGTTGGATAATTATAATATCTTAAAAGCTACTAATCGTATAACAAAACATCTAACAGATGAAAGTTAAGGAATCAAAATGGTTAACGCAATAGGCCGGGTGAATAAAAATGAGCAACTGCTTTAACTCAGTAATTGGCCAGCTTTACGTGAATAAAAACTTCAACAGTTTTGCTCAAATTTTTTTTTTTACGTAAAGTTAAGCAACTTACTAATTGCTCAGATTTACGTGAATAAAAACTTAAGGAAAATTATTGAAGTTTCTATTCACGTAAAGCTGACCAATTACTGAGTAGAAGCAATTGCTCTTTTTTATTCATCCGGCCTAATGTGCAGCAATAGAATGTTGGACTAGGGTGTGTCATACTTTCTTTTTTTTCCAAATTGATTATATAAAATTACTAAAAGAAGCTTAGATCAAAAAATCCGAAATGATTAAGCTGGGAATAGACCCAAGAAATTTTAAGATTATCCAACTTACAAAACAATATACCCAAGAAATTTTAAAGGAAATATACCCAAGTAATTTTAAGGGAAATATACCCAAGAAATTTTAAGATTATCCAACTTACAAAACAATATACCCAAAAAATTTTAAGGGAAATATACCCAAGAAATTTTAAGGGAAATATACCCAAGAAATTTTAAGATTATCCAACTTACAAAACAAAGCATTAAAAATAATATATTTTCAGCATTATCAATCTATCTCCGATCATCTTTATTTTTTATCCAAAATACTCAAAATTGATGATCTAGTTCAACTATTAAATTGCCATTTTGTCTTTAATTATAAACAAAAATGTCTACCCAGCACATTTACAAATTTTTTTACTGTTAGAGAAAGCTGTCGCTATCATCTACGATCTGCTAATAGCTATAATTTTCATGTACCAAATCATTCTTCTGTAAAATATGGTCTAAAATCCATAAAATACCAAAGTGTAAAATCATGGAACAGTCTACCTTCGCCATTAAAATCAATTGACTTAATTACTAATTTCAAAAACTGTTTTTTTAACTATTTTTTAGCAAGATATTATACCTGAAGACTGAACTTTTTTATTTATATAGATTCTGGCCTTGTAAAGAATTCCAATATTTTTGAAACTTTAGTACCAACATAATCAATGTTGCTTCCATGTGATGTTCTCATCAAGGAATACGCCTAAAAATTTTGTGATACAGCCTTCTTTTATTTCAATTTGGTCAATAAAAATATTAGGTAGAGTTGAGGGTAAACAACGTTTTATCCCAACTTTTTATGCATTCATTCATAGCTATATGAATTATGCAAGATATTATACCTGAAGAAATATGTTGTTATGCTTTTATTATTACTACTTTCTTGATACCTACTAGTTTTATTATTAACTTTTTGTTCTCATATTTTTATTGTTATTATTAGTATTGATATTAATAATATTCTTCTATCTTTATTAGTAAATTGTTATTTTTATTTATAACATAATAAGTATTATTATTGCTTTTTTTAATTTTTTTCTTAAGTTTGTTTACTACTTATACTATGTAATTGTTATTAATACTATTATTGCTGTTATCTAATATTGATTGTATAATATCTTTATTATTATTGTTAGTATTGTTACTAATAATATTCCTCTTCATCGTCATCTTTTTATTATTGTTAATATTATTTCTATAATTATTATCAATACTATTATTATTGTTATTATGATCACTTTTATTGTAATGTTGCAGGTTTTTACTTTAGATTAGTACTTGTACTTTTTGTAAAAGTCCTTGAAATTTTACAACTTATTTCAGAATATATTGAATTGAATAGAGATTTAGGATTAATTTAAATTCGCTGAAAATTTTTTATTTCAAGCAAATTTTTGCTTGTGGTTGTATATTTTTGACGGCTTAAACTTTTTTTTTAATCGTTTTTTTAATCTATTATTATTTTTTTTTTTTTTTTTTTTTTTTTTTTTTTTTTTTTTTTTACAACTTCAATATACACTTCATTACGTTACAATTCTATCATATAATTTAATGCAAAGAGTAAAATATATAACATAACATAAGAATACGTAATTTAACAATTATAATAAAATATAACGTTAGATTAATAAACACTGTTTTTTTTTTTTTAAATAAAAACTATTGTTTCTTCAAATATAAGCATGTTGTTGTAAAGGAGACACGCAGAAGACTATGAAGTCTTATCATCAAGTACCTTTTCAAATGGTTAAATAAATTTAATTAATTTTTATATATAGTTAAAAGTGGTTAAACAATACACAGTCAGTGATACACATAAACATTTTAGTATAAATCTTGTTGTTAAGTTTAATACATGTCAATAAAATTTTTGATATTAAGTATGAGGTGTTTTAATTTTTTTTTCAAGGTGGCAGAATTATTTAATGCTTTAATTTCTATATTTTCGGATATTATTTTGTTATATAGGTACGGACCCCGGTAGGAAATAGAGAATCGTGAGAACTTTTATTATTAAAACTTTTATAATAGTTTCTATTTGTAATCATTTATCTATCATTTAGTTGTTTATTTAATAAGTTAAGGATTCTTTTTATATAAATTTTTTTAAGAAATCAAATTTTACTTTTTTTTCTATATTGTCATTAAGAACAAATCTTTCTTTGAACGATTAGTATACATCAGCTGTCAGGATAAATCATGCTCTCTTATAAAACCATCTCTTTTTTCATGAGAATAAATTCTTTGTAAATTGTTTTTATATAGGAGTTTAATTAATTTTTATTAAATAATATAAGTAATTAAATAATATAGTTAATTAAATTAATTAAAATCAAAAAAGATTTAATGCTCCTTGGATAACTAAGTGTTTTAAAAAATCATCTAAGATCAAACAAAAGTTATATATAAATTACTTAAAAACAAAAACATCTTTGAACAAAGATTACAAATATATATTTAAAAAACTCGTAAAAACTTAAAAAAGAATTACTTCTCGGTGTAGTTAAGGCACTTTTAAAATATTAGAGCGCCTGTATGATATTTTGTTGACTACGACATTTCCCGTTAAATGGTCTGGGCTGTGAATTATGAAAAGACGAAAAAACTTACAATGATAAATTTTGCGGTATCAAAAAATATAAATGTTTGTAGCGAAAAAACCCAGACCGATGATTCTTTTTTTTTTTAAAAAAATCATCTTAAAATCACAATCGCTCGTCCAAATTTGAATAAGATTTTATATTAATACGTTTTTTAGGTGAAACGAACATTATAGTTTAACAATATGATCTGTTCTGATCGTTTATTGGCAATTTTTTATAATTATAAGCTCTTTCTTAGTCGGAGTTCCAGTATTTTTTGTGAAAATTGATAGAAATATTGTGTTTTGACAACTATATATAGTTATATACGTCAGAACTGAGTAGAACTAGGATCAGTAGTAAATTAAGAAACTTTTTCAAAAGATTTTAACTAAATTCATATTAATGCCGATGAGCGGAATTGATCTAAAGACTCCAAAATAGTGTTCTTTAGATACACTATTACGGGTAGTAAAAAGGTTTTGAAAATTATATATAAAAAAAGAAAAGTTTTTTTAAATATTATAAAAACCTTAAGCAAAAAAAAATTATAGCATTTAAAGACCTTGTTTGGACATAATATGTTGACAAAACCATGCTAGTTCCAAATAAAAGTATTTTGTAAAACGCCTTAACTACACCGAGTACTCAAAATTAATTGAAAATGTTAAGAACGACTCTTAACGTACTTGGAAAATATTAAGAGAAATTGGTGGAAAACAAAAAACTTGCTCAGGTTCCCTACCGCAGGTGATAAGAGTGGATAACAAAGATGTTTTTGAACCTAGATTAATAGCTCATGAGTTTAACAAATTCTTTATTGATATCGGTTCCAAACTAGCAAATAAAATTCCTAATACCCAAGTTTGTTCAATAACTTTATAACACCGATGGATGATTGCATTTACTCCAATAATTTATCTTCTGAGTTATCATTTGAGGAGTTTCAAGTATCGTTTAAATCTGTTTAAAAAAACAAAGCTCCTGGAGCTGATGAAATAAATGGAAACACAGTCTTAGAATGCTTTGAACAATTAAAAGATATTCTCTTTAAAGTTTTCAGAGCATCAATAAAACAAGGAGTTTTTCCTGATAAGCTAAAAATAGATAAGATAATCCCAATATACAAAGGAGACAGAACTAATGTATGTAACTACCGACCTATTTCTATTTTATCAACATTTTCAAAAATCTTAGAAAAAATTAATTACAATAGATTATATACTTATTTTAAGGAGAAGAATTTTTTTTATAAAAATCAGTTTGGAAAAAAATAGTTCTACTGAGCATGCAAGCATTCAATTTGTCCGTGAAATTTCTAACTCTTTCAAAAATTCACAGCTCACTTCGGGTATTTTTTTGGATTTATCAAAAGCATTTGATACAGTAAATCATAGCATTTTGATTCATAAACTTGAATATTATGGAGTAGATGGTGTAATTTTGAAATAGTTTCAAAGTTATTTAACAAACCAAAAACAATTTGTTTCTTTTAACAATCCTT